AAGTGATGGAACTATGTTTCTTTCATGGTTATGAAACGAGGCAAAAATTCTGCTTTTTTGCTGTGAAACTTCGCTAAACATTCAATTGAAACATCTTCACGATACTGTTTTTGCTCGATTGTGGGCAAACGCGGCACCCATGTTGCACATAGCTTTCCCATATCCAAATTTTCTGATAATTTACAATGTACTGCACTTTTTGAAATTCAAAGTAGGTCTGCTACTCTGAGTCGACCATCATTCAATATCGGTTTGTATACTTTCGTTTTTGGAGCCCCTCCTTTGGTCAAAGTAGTAGATTCACCAGAGTAGAATCCGGTTCAGCTTGATTAAGCTGAGATCATTCAAATAATAGTATTGTACCACATGACGATGGCTACTTTTCTTCATTTTCAAGAATTCAGCGAAAACGTTTGCTATTAATGGCTGCCAAACGAATACTCAACAATGCAGTGTCTTCGAACTTGAGAAATATACTTGATAGATTGAGGATTTTCTAATACAGTGAACCACAGTGAACCACCCTGGTATATACACTGTGTTTTAACAAAATCTTGAACTTCTCTGTAACTCAGAAGCAGACGTGTGAACAGAAATTTCAATTTATATTTCCAAAATCTATATCCGAAATTTCTTGCCGTTGTGGCAGCATATGCTTCATACATTGTGTACTTTCTAATATAGTGATATTTTTCAAACAACTACCGTTATCTCTTGGTCAGGCCGGGTACTTCTGGGACCACCCTGGTATATACACTGTGTTTCAACAAAATCTTGAACTTCTCTGTAACTCAGAAGCAGACGTGTGAACAGAAATTTCAATTTATATTTCCAAAATCTGTATCCGAAATTTCTTGCCGTTGTGGCAGCATATGCTTCATACATTGTGTACTTTCTAATATAGTGATATTTTTCAAACAACTACCGTTATCTCTTGGTCAGGCCGGGTACTTCTGGGACCACCCTGGTATATACACTGTGTTTCAACAAAATCTTGAACTTCTCTGTAACTCAGAAGCAGACGTGTGAACAGAAATTTCAATTTATATTTCCAAAATCTATATCTGAAATTTCTTGCCGTTGTGGCAGCATATGCTTCATACATTGTATACTTTCTAATACAGTGATATTTTCAAACAACTACCGCCATCTCTTGGTCAGGCCGGGTACTTCTGGGACCACCCTGGTATATATACTAAGTTTCATGGGCAGCTGCTAGCCCTCATGTTTCTTCAAGAAACATTTGAAAGTATTTTTTCGCCTTTATACCTAACTTCCAATTTGTTTTAATGAATGGAGAAATATATCTCCAATTGCCGAATAATTTGGGCTGTATCCTGGATCATTCCTTACATTTTAGAAGTTTTTTCTAGTCAGCAATCGGCATTGTCAAGAAATATTCTATTGCAGTTTTAGTTAGGGTAAATTTTTTACCTCAGACTCCAAGAAAATGTAACGGTGACATACTATTCTACTATAGACCACTTTGCCGATTCAAGGCCGAGTCTGAAAATTGTCTCTGGCGAACATTAAAAAGTGAGGTTACACTATTTTGGATATGAATTTCATACGAAAATTGCCTTTTCTTGAAACATTCACGTTAAGTGTTTGTTGAAATGTGGCTAAATCTAATATTTACGATCAGTAAACGGAAGTAAATAATTACATTAGATTTCTCTTCTCAGCGGAAGTGAAGATAAGAGGTTTTACCGAAGCCGGGTATTACCTAATTAATTTTAAGACAAACATTGAAAGGAGATAAAATCATCCAACTCAATAAAGTGTGAGTTGCGTAATATTTTGTAGATGATAATTTGAACTTTTAGTGAAGTCGGAATTCTTTTGTTCACAAAATGAATATTTGTTACCTTTCAACTTGTGACCTGATGAAATTTTTGCATAATAAAATGAATGGTGTTCACCGAATAATAACTCTCATATTCGACTTTATTGTCTGAAAGTGTATAGGATCCTTTATCCAAGTCGCAGACGCTAAATTCAGCACTTGCTATTTATAGGGTCTTCCTATCTTTAAATTTGAATTGAACGAAGTGTGTGTGGAATATCATAAAAAAGCATTTTATTCGTTAGAAAGAACTGCTGACGCCATTTAATGACCGGCTTTTTTGGGTGGAATGCATTCGAAACGTTAAATTTTTCATGACTTTGGCGCATAAATCATGACTGCATTTGACGACGACGCAAAATCACCAAGTTGTGGTCTGCAAAAGGCTGAGTTCTTGTGAGTGACGCAAAATTGACTGACTCCGATTATCCTCTCAGTGGACTCAAATTTAGCCACCACATTGCGAATAGTCCGCTCGGTAGGATGATTATGGCGATCGTGAAGCCGGTCACATACTTCGCGATTTCCGAGCGGTTTTTTCCAGCGCGGTTCCGAGCGGCTTTTCATTTTCATGCCAACCCGTGCAATAAAATGGAATATGACAGTGCTTGCGGTTTTTAACAGCGGCGATTTGTTTACAGCCGTCTGGTCGTCGGATTCCGAGGGCAATCGGAGGGCAGGGGCGACCAAGCGATTCGAGCATGAAAGTGAAAATTTTAATTCGTAGAGTAGACAGTCTCCCTACTTTGTGGGACAAAAGGGTATCTCTTTCTATCAACCGCTATGAACAGATGACAATTCGTTAACATTTGTCTTCTAATCAAAGACTTATGTTATAGTGATGATCAATTAATACTCATAACAGTGGAAAGAGATAACCAGACAGCCGACTGTGTTTTACAATTTACCTACATTTGCCAGACATGATATTGACAGTTGACAGTACCATTGTTTTATGTTATTGAGTATTGTTTTCGTCAGTGTTACAGTGTCTCTGCATCCATGCACGGATGACTCAATGGAAACTCGTTTGTTAATATCAATGTTTGAAAATGTTTTGGAAACATTGCAATGTCACCTTTTTCGTTTACTATCACATCTACATAAAAACTAACTTTTGAGGTCGTCAGGAACCGACATTTCCATAAATTTGAAAATGTTAATTCATTGTCATTTCCTACATGTTATAATTTTCATCGGGATATTAGACACTTCGTCTTACATTTGACCACAATTTGGCGATTTATTTCATATGCACGTCAATGATGACGTGTCGGTAAAGTTAAAATAATCGAAGTGTACTATTGTTTATATTGGATACATCAGATACAGTCAAAGAACCTTAGATTTGATAATAATTTTGATATTCTGAATCACAACAGCACTATCTATGAACGATCCTTTACGTATCATGCTGTATAATTCATTCAGTGAATCTCTGAAAAATCACTACCGCTATTCAAAAGTAAACTTAAAACTGAAGTGCTCGGTCAACAGTGATCCAAAAATAAATATTTGTATTTCATTTTACTTTTGTCCTGAAATTGCCATTTATTTTTTGTAATGTTTATTTTTTTTAACATGGTTGAGTGGAAGAATAGCGCTTTGCTAAACTCCGCCACGTAAAATACAGACCATTTATTATTGTTATTATTATCAGAAGTAACGGTTATAAATGTGTAATGTACTTCAGTTAAAGTGATTATACAGGTATACATTCAAATATTTGTTTCACATCGAGTTTGTTTATGAGGCTACCATTCACAAATTCATGATGACCGTAATAGTTTTCATGCATTACTCAGTTTTTATGACGACGTGAATTTTTTTATGACTTCATTCAGTAACTTATTATACGAAGTAAATTATTCGTCTACGCAAAACTGAGTTACGATGTCCCATTTGACATAGCATTATAGACAAAATAGATTTCTAATAGTATCATCAACCAGGAACGATATTTTTACTACAAATTGATCCTTATATTTTCCCCTCGTATCTATTCTAAATGAGTAATTACCCTACTTTGATGTGGAGTCATTTCCACGCCTGAATAGAGGAGTTATAATCTGGGCGAGAGTGAAAATCTCTAACGCATTTCCCGAATTTCAGCGTGCTTTTAGGGTAGCTTATGCTCTTGAACACATTTCTGACAAGATAAAAGGCATTTCCTGGATATCTCTACATGAAATATAACCTTCATAGCTCGCCGAAAGATATCAACGATCGAACATCCAGCCGCGCCGTCAAATTTCAACTTGGGGATAAGTGAGTTGGATGGTATAATTCAGGAAATGGTATATTGAATGTTGTTTCAAGGGATGCTCCAATGAAATTTCTTTACATGAAAGATCCTATCTTCTTTTCGATGAGGAATCAACTCCTCAAATGTTTAACACTTATTTAGTTACACCCTGTATACCCCTTTCAATTTAAACTTGCTGTTTTTGAATTTTTTGAATATTAAGTTGTTCAAAACTATTTTGTGATTATGTTGAACGATATATAATTGTGTTTTCATTTCCTAATGTGAATGAATGAATAAACACATTTCGATGTCTGAGTAACGCTAGTTGCACACACACCGATTTTGGACGGCCGATTTTTTACCGGTCGTCCAAATTCCAATAGTGAACCACATGTGGAAACGGGACCTTGCACACATGCCTACCGGTGATCGTCGCCGGTAAAATACCGGTAAGCAGCCGTCCACTGTCACTGTATCGCCGGCAGTACCGGGAAGTAGTGGCGTACATGACTTAATACACTCTTGCATACTCACCGGTTTTTCACCGATCCTTCCAGTCTCGAATGCTCGGTGAAATTGTAGTTACTACGCATGAACTTCATTCTGGTAGTGCGTGCTAATTACAACAACAAAGCAACTGATTGTTTTACCGATAAAAATCCGGTGAGTGTGCAAGCACCCACTACCAATAAAATATCGGCCGATTTTATACTGGCCGTCCAAAATCGGTGTGTGTGCAACTAGCGTAACTCTTCCTTCTCGCTGGGATGCATGGCGCATCCAGACTGAAACATCAATGAAGATGACTAACGACCTCAAAACAGAAATACATCACGTACGCTTTTCTCGGAGACAATCTGGAAACTGACTGCGCAATAAAAATTTAATTTATACTTTGAAACATACCTTTCGCATTACGGAACGTCCTGGAGACCTGAAACAAGAGAAGAATATAAAGCGGTTGTAGATCTGAGCGAATCTTTCTCTTGTTCGACAGAGAAACTTGGGAAAATATATCGATACGTTCTGAGAGGTCGGTTCCTTGGGAATCGGTGATAATTCGTGCCGAACAAAGGAATAAATGGCTGCAGTTGGTATTCAGAAAAAAACATTCACTTGGATCCATATATCTTCGATATATAAGGGTGCTTTATCATTTGATTTGTTTTTGAATCGGTTTAGTTTTTGCAAAGAAAATTGAGTTGTAAAACAGTAAATTAAATATCTGAATGGGACACAAAATCTTCGAAAAAGCGATTTTATTGTATGTCTCTCAATATCATTACCACAGTTTGTGATGTAATGAACTCGGAAATGAAATTGTAGCTCATTTACCGAATACAATATAACTTGACGATACGTTATCGTTCATTTGAAATTTCATGTTCTAATACGAGGGTGATCCTAGAAGTACCCGGCCCAATAGAGAAAACTCAAAAATAAAAAAAAATTGTTCAGCATAATCTCCTTGCAGCTCTATAAACTTTTTCCAGCGACGTTCAATAACTTACGATAGCGTTTTTATAATAGGAACTGAGCCATTAAGTGAAGACATCACTTCTTCATCGTTAGAAAATCGTTGACCACTGAGTTTAGGAACAGAAAATAATCCCATGGGGTTAAATCTGGCAGACGGGGTGCATAAGGTAACAATTCAAACTTCAATTCCTTAATTTTGGTATTTGCAATAATGAATTTGTGAGCTGGTGCATTGTCTTGATGAAACATCACTTTCTTCTCAGTCAAATGCGGCCGTTTTGGCTTGATTTCTTAAATCAAACGTTGCAGTAAGTTGGCATAACACTCGCCGTTCATAGTTTTACCTTTTGAGAAATGGTCAGTGAAAATTATCCCACGCGCATTCTATAAACTTAATGCCATGACCTTGCCTGCTGATGAAATGGTCTTCGCCTTCTTTAGAGCCGGTTTTTCCATATAAGTCCACTGTTTTGAATGTTCTCTTGTCTTTGTTGTAAAGTAATGGAACTATGTTTCTTCCATGGTTATGAAACGAGGCAAAAATTCTGCTTTTTTGCTGTGAAACTTCGCTAAACATTCAATTGAAACATCTTCACGATACTGTTTTTGCTCGATTGTGAGCAAACGCGGCACCCACGTTGCACACAGCTCTCCCATATCCAAATTTTCAGATAATATACAATGTACTGCACCTTTTGAAATGCATAGTAAGTCTACTACTCCGAGTCGACGATCATTCAATATCGGTTTGTATACTTTTTTCATCGTTTTTGGAGTCCCTCCTTTGGTCAAAGTAGTAGACTCACCAGAGTAGAATCCAGTTCAGCTCATATATTGATTAAGCTGAGATCTTTCAAATTATAGTATTGTACCACATGACGATGGCCACATTTCTTCATTTTCAAGAATTCAGCGAAAACCTTCGCTATTAATGGCTGCCAAACGAATACTCAACAATGCAGTGTCTTCAAACTTGAGAAATATACTTGACAGATTAAGGACTTTCTAATATAGTGATATTTTTCAAACAACTACCGTCATCTCTTGGTCAGGCCGGGTACTTCTGGGACCATCCTGGTATATACACTGTGATTCAACAAAATCTTGAACTTCTCTGTAACTCAGAAGCAGACGTGTGAACAGAAATTTCAATTTATATTTCCAAAATCTATATACGAAATTTTTTGCCGTTGTGGCAGCATATGCTTCATACATTGTGTACTTTCTAATACAGTGATATTTTTCAAACAACTACCGCCATCTCTTGGTCAGGCCGGATACTTCTGGGACCACCCTGGTATATATACCTACACCATTTGAAAGTATTTTTTCGCCTGTATACCTAACTTCCAATTTGTTTTAATGAATGGAGAAATATATGCTGAACATTTATTCCCATATATTAACAATACAAACAAAATCACTGATTACTGACGTCTCTAATTGCCGAATAATTTGGGCTATATCCTGGATCATTCCTTACATTTTAGAAGTTTTTTCTAGTCAGCAATCGGCATTGTCAAGAAATATTTTATTGCAGTTTTAGTTAGGGTAAATTTTTTACCTCAGACTCCAAGAAAATGTAACGGTGACATACTATTCTACTATAGACCACTTTGCCGATTCAAGGCCGAGTCTGAAAATTGTCTCTGGCGAACATTAAAAAGTGAGGTTACACTATTTTGGATATGAATTTCATACGAAAATTGCCTTTTCTTGAAACATTCACGTTAAGTGTTTGTTGAAATGTGGCTAAATCTAATATTTACGATCAGTAAACGGAAGTAAATAATTACATTAGATTTCTCTTCTCAGCGGAAGTGAAGATGAGAGGTTTTACCGAAGCCGGGTATTACCTAATTAGTTTTAAGACAAACATTGAAAGGAGATAAAATCATCCAACTCAATAAAGTGTGAGTTGCGTAATATTTTGTAGATGATAATTTGAACTTTTAGTGAAGTCGGAATTCTTTTGTTCACAAAATGAATATTTGTTACCTTTCAACTTGTGACCTGATGAAATTTTTGCATAATAAAATGAATGGTGTTCACCGAATAATAACTCTCATATTCGACTTTATTGTCTAAAAGTGTATAGGATCCTTTATTTATCCAAGTCGCAGACGCTAAATATAGCACTTGCTATTATAGGGTCTTCCTATTTTTAAATTTGAAATAAACAAAGTGTGTGTGGAATATCATAAAAAATTTTTATTGGTTAGAAAAAACTGCTGACGCCATTTAATGACCGGCTTGGGTGGAATGCATTCGAAACGTTAAATTTTTCATGACTTTGGCGCATAAATCATGACTGTATTTGACGACGACGCAAAATCACCAAGTTGTGGTCTGCAAAAGGCTGAGTTCTTGTGAGTGACGCAAAATTGACTGACTCCGATTAGTCTCTCAGTGGACTCAAATTTAGCCACCACATTGCGAATAGTCCGCTAGGTAGGATGATTATGGCGATCGTGAAGCCGGTCACATACTTCGCGATTTCCGAGCGGTTTTTTCCAGCGCGATTTCCGAGCGGTTTTTTATTTTTATGCCAACTCCTACAATGAAATGGAATATGACAGTGCTTGCGGTTTTCAACAGCGGCGATTTGTTTACAGCCGTCCGGTCGTGGGATTCCGAGGGCAATCAGAGGGCAGGGGCGACCAAGCGATTCGAGCATAAAAGTGAACACTTTAATTCGTAGCGTAGACAGTCACCCTAGTTTGTGGGACAAAAGGGAGTATGTACTACAAATATTTTGATTTTACGTATTTTTGAGTTTCCCATAAGATATGTGTCGGTCATGTCTCCCGCTAGAAAAATTATGTGATTAATATTTTATAAACTTGAACTAACCTCAATCTAACAGTAAGCCTCTCTTCAGCGCTGATAGGTACTCTTCTGGTGCAATTTTTCTGAAGTAAAGTTCGTACAATTACCGCAAGTTCATCGAACGACTTTATGGACATTCGATAATAGGTAAAAAACTGATCTACATATTCTTTGATTTTTTTGTATAAAACAGAAAAGCTTTCTTATGTGGTAGGGGTTTCCATTTGATGACGAAATATCGCAGCAGCAGGAGCAGACTTCATAGTGGTTGCTTTGAAGGTGTGAACAATACTAGAGGACGACAAGGAAATATTTCCCCTCCAGTCAGAAACCCTAACTGCCAGTGCTGGGTATATTAAAATCACCAAATATATACGTGTTCTCTATAAGTACTATATGGTCTTCTAGAAATTCAAATAGTAGCTTATAATCACTACTTGTGGCTCATACATATTCACACTCGACCAAATAAACCCAGCTTCTTAACGAAGCCGATTAATTTGTATGGTGAGTGGTCTTTCAGGTCAGATGGTTAGAGTACGGCTCTGCCAAACTCTGAAAACATGATTCCGTCCCCAGCGGGGCAGGCTCAAAGTATGTACTCTGCTGTTTCATCATTTTCCAAACAGAGGCGACACATACTGTCTTCTGACAGTCCGAGTCTCTGCATGTGATGACAGTGACCTGTGAGAAAGCCTGTTAGACATCGTAGTTTATCCCTACTGTAGTCCAACAACTGTCAAGCTTCGAAGGGTGAATAAACGCATTGGAGTGGCCAATCCTGGAAGATTCTGCCAGAATTTCAAAAATCTTCTTGCCACCCAGGTGTCAGGTGTTCAATGTTTGGCAAAGCCCAAAGCGATGACAATGACAGGTTCTGGTCCGATGAAGCTGCTTGCAGCAGTCTCCTTTGGAAGGGAGTCAGCAGCCTCAATGAGATCTTACTTTATGACGTGCGATTCCAAACAGTCATTCATAATGGTAAAATCATTTCATTCTTGACTGATGATGAACTATTTTCATTGATGTATCGCTTTTTAAAATATTTAGAGAAATTGCAACTTTCTCTCAATATTCATTCTCTCAAATGTAACTTCTTAAGATAAAGCAAGTCTTTTACCTTCATCTCGTGTGTTTCTATTTCATATAACTGTTTCTAACCTAGCTATTATGAATATGTATCCTCGTGAAACAGTTGATGAAAGAGCAGATTGTGTAAAAATCACATTCTTGAGCCGTTCCACCCTTGCAACCAGTTGAAATTTACTACATTCCAACCCTAATTTTCGATAAAATTTGCACGTTGTTTGGGCCAGACACTCAACTTCCTGGTGTATTGATAAAAGCGGCATAAAATATGCAAACGAGGAAAGAGCGATGCCGAAGTGTCGAATGCGTGCTTCAGAGTTTTTGAATAATAGGGGACCACAAATAACGGATATTTTTCAAAGCTGAAAATATGAATAATGAATGTATAATCGATTATTTCTACTGGTTGCGGTAGATCGACTGTTTTACATACAAGTGAAGTTATTTTCTTCGGAGTTATGAATAGAATATGAAACATGGTATACTTTTGTTTTGAATTTGGATAAATCAAACAGTATGAAAAGTTTGGCAATAGTA